AATACGTTTCCTTTCAAAGCCTGTGGAACATTTTCTTAGTGACTGATGTTGGTGGGAGGCCCCAGCCTATGGTGAGTGGTGCCACCCCTGGGCAAGTGGACCTAGGTTTTTTTTTTTTGTTTTTTTGTTTTTTTATTTTTATTTTATTTTATTTTATTTATGAATAGTACACTGTAGCTGTCTTCAGATACACCAGAAGAGGTCATCCAATCTCATTACGGATGGTTTTGAGCCATCATGTGGTTGCTGGGATTTGAACTCAGGACCTCTGGAAGAACAGTCAGTGCTCTTAACCGCTGAGCCATCTCTCCAGCCCAGGACCTAGGTTTAATAAGCAGGCTAAGAAAACCTTGAGGAGCAAGCCAGTAAGCAGCACCCCTCCAGGCCTTCTTCATCAGCTCCTGCCTCCAGGTTCCTGCCTTGTGTGAGTTTCCATCCTGGCTTCTTTCCATCATGGGCTCCAATGTGGAAGTGTAAGCCAAATAAACACTCTCCTCCCCAACTTGCTTTTGGAGTCTAATCACAGCAACAGAAACTAAGACATCTGCTTTTTGGTGCTGTTTGAAAACACTGACAAAGGTCAGGTGGTGGGCCTATCTCTGTTATAACAGTTGGAGGCCAGCCTGGTCTACAGAGTTCCAGCTAGCCCAGGCTACACAGAGACAGTCTTGAAAATCCAAAACTGGTGATGATGATGATGACAATGACAACGACAGCAATGATGAAGATGATGACCGGAGAGGAAAGAATGTATTTCATTTGCACTTCCATGTCACAGCCTATCCTGCAGGGAACTAAGGGCAGGAACTCAAGGCAGGAGCCCGGAGGCAGGAACTGAAGCAGAAGCCATGGAGGAATGTGGCTTGCTCCTCACGGTTCACCCTGCTTTCTCATATAACCCAGGGTCACCTGCACAGGGGTAACACCACCCACAGTGGGCTGGACTCTCCCACGTCAATCAAGAAAGCGCCCTACACACTTGCCCACCGGCAAATCTAATGGAAGCATTCTCTCAGGTGAGGTTCGTCTTCTTAGATGACCCTAGCTTCTGTCAAGTTGGCAAAACAAACAAACAAACAAAACCACCAAACCAGTGCACTGAGCTTGAAGCCAGCCTGGATTCCATGAGTCCCTGTCTACAAAATAAATACACCAATACATGTTTTTATAGAGAAGCCAAAGAAACAGGTATGTAAGATGACCGGATATGATAGTGGGAGGCTTCAGGGCTTCCTGATTCTTAGATTCCAGTGTAGAGGACACAAGGAGTAGAGCCTGCAGCTGAGGGCTCTGAGGGGAATGGGACTGAGCATACTTCAGAGCCTGAACCAAGGTCCACACAGTTATCACCCTGTGAACAGGAGGATCGCTGAGAACATGGTCTAAGATCTGGAAAGTTCAAAAACATGAAGGAGGGACCCATCATGACCAGGAAAGCGCATGGCAGGGGAGGAGGGATGGCAGAGCCTGCTGATCCCTGGGCAGTCTGTCAGGAAGCACAGACTGACAGGAAATAGGATCAGGTTATAAAACTCATGGCCTGACCAAGCCCTACCTCCCCCCCAGGCCCCCGGCAGACCACTTCCTCCATGGAGGCTCTACTTCCTAAACACTCCTCAGTCTTTCAAAACAGCAACAGTGCCACCAGCTGAGGATCAAGCGTTCTAGAACACCAGCCCACGCAGGACCCGTCACATCTGAAACAGGACAGTTGTTTTCTCAGGGCAATGGGATTATGTGTGATTTTTTTTTGACTCGAGCAAGAAGAGTGTGAATATGTTCAGAAATATCCATTGCCCTTCACTCTCCTGCCCCTTCCCCTCCCTTGTCCTTTCTCTGTGTCTATCTCTCTCTCCTTTTCTGTCACGCACTACTGCACACTCATGCATGCATGCACACAACAACCCACAGCCTGCAGCATCCCGGGGAGGAACAGTGACAGAAGGGCTCAAAACTCGGTATCAACAGACACTCGGCTGCCTGACCCATAACAAGCACGAAAGAAAAAAAAAAAAATCAAGTGTTGATTTTTGATAACAGAGCCGTGTCTGAAGGCAGCAGACACTCAGAGCTCTCCTTCAACCGCCTATCGTCTTCTCAGGGTTGATTAGAAAACTTTATTGTTCTCCCCAGGGCTAGGAACTAGGAAACTATCTGAGCAAACATGATCAAAGAGAAGACATATTTTTCCCCCTTTGCATACATTTGAAGAGCCTTATTTTAGAAGCAGCTGGAGAAGTATCAGCAGCCTCTCCTCCCCCACAATAATTTCTACAGTTCCTACCAGAACATATTTGCCCCTGGGCCCTTCTCTTACCTACTTGAGACGATCATATGAGATCCCCGTGAAAAATAAGTTTGTTACTCATGATACTACTTCCGGCTTTCCTCACTTTACATATGAGTTCATTGGAGCCGTGGGCCTGTCCAAGTTGTGGGCCCCAAAAGCTATGTCAGCCTCTCCTACCTGATGGGACACCTCTATTCCAAGAACATCCAATGTGAGCTTGGGCCTAGCTCTTATAGTAGCACTGCCTCCTATGAGAACACGGAAGCTGGACAGGTGGCTCAGTGAGTCAAAGCACCAGCTGCTCTTGCAGTGGACCGGAGTTTGATTCCCGGCAACCCACATCAAAATCTGTAACCCCAGCTCCAGATCTGACATCTTCTTCTAGCCTCCACGGACACTGCATGCACACACTGAACAGCCATCCATGCAAGCAAAACACTCATACCCAGAGATTCAAAGCATACAAAACCTTAAAAGAAAGAGTCAGAACACAGCAGCATGCATTCGATGCGTCATCAGAATTAAGCGAATGTTTACGGAATGCCCGGGATTGTTCATGCTGCTGCCCCAGCAAACAAGCTTTGCTGAGGGTGACAGTGTGCACCACACAGTTAGCATTTGCCAGCTTCCTTGCAACCTCAAAGCACCCATGTAGTCATTAAGAAAACACCATCGCTGGGTGTTGGTGGCGCACGCCTTTAATCCCAGCTCTTGGGAGGCAGAGGCAGGCAGATTTCTGAGTTCAAGGCCAGCCTGGTCTACAGAGGGAGTTCCAGACAGCCAGGGCTACACAGAGAAACCCTGTCTCTAAAAACAAAACAAAACAAAACAAAAAACAAAACAGAAAACACCATCAAGGGTCCTGTGAATTTCCAGGAGTATGCCTGAAAAATGAGATGTGCTATTCTGAGGGCATCATTTTTCTTCCTTCCTTCCTTCCTTCCTTCCTTCTGGAATGTGAATGTGATGGGTTGAGCTACTGCAGTCAAAAGACTCCTTGAGGAGATCTCCAGATTCAAAGATAAATTCTGGGAGGCTTGAGCAGAAGGAGGCAGGTTCAGAAGCTCCTGCTGAGGTTGTATGTTTGAACACCAGAACCCACGTCAGACAGCTCACAGCCACTTGTAACTCCAATTCTATGTGATCCAGTACCCTCTTCTGGCCTCCACAGGCACCTAAACACACACACACATGCACACACTCAACAATAAAACTTAAAAAAAAAAAGAAATGAAAGAAAAAGCAAGTCCTATTAGTCTTTACCATGGATAGAGGGGAAAATCAGGCAATTTTTTTTTTTTTTTTGAGACAGGTCCTTGGCTGTCCTGGAAATCATTAAGTAGACAAGGTTGGCCTTAAACTCAGAGAGATCTCCCTGCCTTTTAACTCCTGGGCGCTGGGATTAAAGGTGTGTGCTACCATGCCCAGCAAAATCAGGTAATTCTATGATAAATAAATTTTAAAAAAATCCCTTGCTTCCTCCCTGTGAATAGGTAGAAGAGTTGGTCCAGTGTTCCCCTGCAAAGCAAGCTTTGTCCGTGGACAATCAGAGGCCAGCGTGTTTCGGAGCTGGACTGGGAGAAGGCTACTCAAGGGACCCAGGCATCTACTCTTTCCTCTTTGAAGCTGTTAGGGAGTGTTCAGGGATGGGAAGAAATTAATTTCAGGGGCTATGCTTAGAATATTGGTTCTATAATATTGACGGGCTTTAAACGCTGCACATGTCTTTGTAAAACACCATGAATTCTCCCAAATGTCATGTTGTCACAAGGCTCTGTCTCTTCCCCACCCTTCCTGCCCAGGTGCATTTATTGCAAGAGGCTCTGAGCCCTTGGGCTCCCCAAAAACCTGGCTTCCAAGCCTCACACCATAGTCCTCTAAAACTGCCCGGGGCTTTGGATATGGCTCAGCGCCTGGAATAAGAAACTAGGAAGCAAGCAAGAAATCTTGGACTGCTGGGTGCCTCCCTTTCCCTCCCTTCCTCAGAATCTTGCGGCTGATCTTCAACTTACAGCAATCCTCCTGCCTCAATCTCTGTGTTGCTGGAATTGCAAACCCCCACCCCTGAACCGGGCCCCATAACAGCCTTCTCTGTTATGGTTCTCCATTCTCTTCCTCTGGAAGTTCATAGAATTACTTAGTTCGGGGATACCAGGTTCTAAAAAGAAAGACGGACTGCCAGCCCTATGCCCTAAGGCTTCAGAGTCCAGGACATTCTAAACTCCAAGGTCCTCTCAAAAGTAAGGTCGTGCAGAGTGAAGCTCAAATCACCTCTCCACATGTGGTCTTGTACCCACACCCCACCTGGTCCTGGTCTCTGGGGGAACAGTCTCAGTATCAGCCACTATGTTGCATATAGGAGCCCAACACATGATCAAAATGAGGGGAGACATAGGGTACCTTATGTTCTTGGTCCCTAAGCAGTGGACATCCTTCTCCCACAACCCCCATCTTTCTGAGCACGTGGCTGCCTGACACCTGATCTCGTGACCCCCTCCCCACCCGCTAGTCTCCTCAAGTCCCCTCGGCCCCCAGCTCTCCCTTCTCCCTTCCCCTCCCCTCCCTGCCTTCCCTTTCCTTCCCTCTCCCCCCCTTCCCCTCCCTACTCCAGAACCTGCAGGCTCCGCCTAGGAGAAGCAGACGGGACCGAATCTATCCCTACCCCGCCGCCAGCCAGGGGCCTGGTGGCCCAGTCCTTGGAGGTAGCGACATGCGGCTCCTGTTCTTGGCGGTGCTGCGGCCTCACACTGGCAACGCGGTTACGGCTGGGCGCCTGCGGTATGTTGCGGGGACCCGAGCATCCCTAACCTGGCGATGCCGGGCTGGGCCGGCCGCGCGTGCACAAACGGCCGGGTCGTGGGCGCAGGTGCCGGCGCGAGGGGTTGCAGCTCTGATCCCAGCTGCCTGTTGCCTTGTCTGGCTATTGTGAGCTCCCTAAGATGCCGCAAAGAGGCTGCCTGGGTCAGCGCTGGGACGCGGAGTGGTGGTGGGGAAACCAGAGGCTCAGCAAGGGCCTCGCTGCAGACTTGGGCTTTGGGCAGACTGGCCTGGGATGCGGAGCGGGGACCCACATGGCTGGAATGAGGCAGAGTCCCGGTGCATCTGATGGTCCAGCACGTGCGGAGATCCAGGGTCCGAGTTCTGTGGCTGCTGCCACCCCCTACCCCGCGCCCGCACCTCCTACCTGGTTCTCTTCTAAACGCTCAGCTTATTTTATTTAATTAGGCCTCTTTTGCTTTGTATGTTTACCTGGGACGGAAGCCTGGAACCAGGACAAGGCAGGGAAGGCGGGTCCATTCACCTCTGGCCATCTGGCTGCCTGGATCAAGCAGGGCTGGTCTGAATCATTGAGAAGCAGATGCTTCTGTGCCCCATAGTCACTTGCACGCTTCCCACCCTTTCTCCGCTTTCTCTCCCTCCCCCTCCACTTGCTGCAAGAAATTTCCCAATGGCTTCCCCACTCGGTGGGTCTATTTCCTCATCATGGAAAAGAGCCGTTGAGGCTTCAAGCTAGAAAATGTTACAGTTCCTCTCAAGATCACAGTGACCAACCAAAGAAAGGCTTTCCTAAAGTTTCCCGGAAAAGTGATGGTTTTGTGATTGTGTGAGTTTCCCCTCCCTCTAATTCAGTCACTTACTGGGCTCTCTGTGGGCTGGGCTCTTTGCACTAGAAAAGTGCAAGTCGTTTACAAGGGGTGTAAACACAGGGCTAAATCCTTCCAGAGTGATTGGTACTATGGAACAAATAAAACTTTGCTAGGGGTGTGGCCAATTTGATAGGAGTGTTTGCCAAGCAAGCATAGGTGAATCCCCTGTTCCGTTCCTGGCCGTGCATAAACCCAGGTGTGGTTGCACACACCGATAACCCCTGCTTTTGGGAGCTGAAGGCAGGACAATCAGAAAGTCAAGGTCATTCTCTGCTACTGTCAAGTTCCAGCTACTTGAGATCCTATCTCCAAAGCAAACCAAAACGAAAACAATATAACCTCTTTGCATTGGAGGGCTCCTTGAAGTGTTAAGGTCCGGGCTGTGCTCTTGGCAGAAGTAGCATGTAAGCTAAGACCAGAGGGGAAGCAGCCACCCAGGTCTGGGAGCCAGGTCTGGAAGGGCTAACAATCGCACAGGTCCTGAGGCCAGTGTAAATTAGAGATACAGAAGGTTGGCGAGACTAGTCATCCAGCTGTCTTGGCACAGGGCAAGAAGAAGAGATTGTATTTAAGATTACCATTTAAACATTAAGCACCTTTAGCTAACATTTGACTGTGTGGGTGGGAAAGGTCCAGGATTCTCTGGAATGACCTGATCACGGATGAATGAAATAGTAGAAAACATCCCCAAATGTATTTTGTATGTGCAAGGAGGCTGGCACAAAGTAGAATCACTCGCTAACCCAGAAGTTTGTATGCCCCTTTCCCATGGGCGAAAAAAGGGCTCGGCGGATGGATGCGTGCCATTCCTAGGGGGATAGTATGTGGTTAGGGAAGGCCTTGGTGGGCTTACTGAGACGCCCACATTGCCTTGGAATGAAGGTGTAAACTCACAGAATGGTGATTGGCTGTAAATGATCCCTACAGAAGTTACTGAGATCTGTCCATCCCTCATGCTATTATGGGCTCAGAAAACTGATGCTCGGGTGTGAGGGCTCTGAAGCTGACCTATGCTCCCACCTCCTGTTCCCTCCCTTTTCTAAATAGTTCATATTTTTTTTGATGTGCATTGGTGTTTCGTCTGCATGTACGTCTGTGCGAGGGTGTCTGATCTTGGAGTCACAGACAGTTGTGAGCTGCCATGTGGGTGCTGGGAATTGAACCTGGGTCCTCTGGAGGAGCAATCTTACCCAATGAGCCATCCCTCCAACCTTTTCTTACGCAGGGCAAGCAAAGGTCAACAACAAAATACTGAGAGAATTTCTCTTCCCCAAAGTAGTCATAGAAATCTGAGCCCTAGGCCGGACAGTGGTGGTGGACGCCTTTAATCCCAGCACTCGGGAAGCAGAGGCAGGTGAATTTCTGAGTTCGAGGCCAGCCTGGTCTACAGAGTGAGTTCCAGGACAGCCAGGGCTACACAGAGAAACCCTGTCTCGAAAAACAAAAACAAAAAAATAATAAAAAAAATAAATAAATAAATAAAAAAAATCTGAGTCCTCTTTCCCAGAAAACAGCCATAAAAAACTGAAAATTCTAGCCCCATTCATTTGGAACTGGCCATATAGAAACTCTCTGCTTGCAGCGTTTGAACTGAAGATCCTAGACAAATGTCACATCTCAGGGCCTGGGAAGATAGCTCAGTGGATAAGAGTGCTTGCTGCAAAAGCATATGGATCTGAATTCAAATCCCCACCACCCATGTTAAAAAGATGGGTTCAGGTGTCGAGAAAAAAAAAAAGGCTCAGAGGTTAAAAGCACACAGTTTTTGCAGGAGCTATGTCTAGAGGCTCACAGCCACATGTAAACCAGATCCCCCAGATCCCGTGCACCCAGTGCTCCCTTCTGGCCTCTTTGGGAATCTATGCTCACATGTATCCCCACACAGACACATATAAGTACACATAATTTAAAATATTAAAATATTAAAATATATAATTTTTTTTTTTTTTAGCCAGGCACAGTAGCATGCACCTTTAATCACAGCTCTTAGGAGACAGAGGCAGGTGGTTCTCTTGAGTTCGAGGCCAGCCTGGAATACAGAATGAGTTCCAGGACAGCCAGAGCTACACAGAGGAACCCTGTCTTTAAAAAAAACAAGTAAAACACTTACGTTCAAGTTTCTATGAGGCTGAGTAATTAGAACTTAGTGATTCTGATTCCTTTAATTGGCTTGTTGAGGGCTGGTGGTCACCAATCAGGGAATTCACAGTGGGAGCCAAAGCAGCTAATCTGCTGGAGTCAGGGTTGGACATGAGGCTGGAAATAGGAGTAAGAGTTTTGTCACAAAAGGCCAAGAACAGCCATAAAATGAAGGTAGTGTTGGCTGGAGGATGGCAGGTAAGAGGGACTGAATCTGTGTCTCATGCGTTTAAGAAGCAATGGGGGGGCTGTTGGTAGAGTGCTTATGGCTCATCTGGTAGAGTGCTGTGGCTCAGTTGGTAGAGTGCTTATGGATCAGAGTGCTTGTGGCTTAGTTGGTAAAGTGCTTGTGGCTCAGAGTGCTTGTGGCTTAGTTGGTAAAGTGCTTGTGGCTCAGTTGGTAGAATGCTTGTGGCTCAGGGTGCTTGTGGCTCAGGGTGCTTGTGGCTCAGTTGGTAGAATGTTTCTGGCTCAGGATGCTTGTGGCTCAGTTGGTAGAGTGCTTGTGACTCAGTGGTAGAGTTTTTGTGGCTCAATTGGTAGTGCTTGTGGCTCAATTGGTAGTGCTTGTGGCTCAGTTGGTAGAATGCTTATGGTTCAGGGTGCTTGTGGCTCAGTTGGTAGAGTGCTTGCTTAGCAGACATTAGGCCTTGTGGTCTATCCCCAGCATTGTGCATAATGGGTATCGTGGTACATATCTGTGATCTCAGGACTTTGAATATGGAAGCGTAAGAATCAGAAGCTTATGGTACTTCTCTACTAAGAGTTCACATGAGACCCTGCCTATAAACAAACAAACAAACAAACAAACAAATAAATAAATGGAAGCAAATAAATAAGCAAGCAAGCAAGCTGAGTGTGGAAGTAGGCAGCTGTTCGTGAGTTCAAGACCAGATTAGTTTACTTAAGTGAGTTTCAGGCCAGCCAGGAACTACATAATGAGAGTCTGGAGAGAGAGTGAGAGAGAGAGAGAGAGAGAGAGAGAGAGAGAGAGAGA